ATCTGATGTTTAAATGTGAAATTCATAACAAAAAAAGATATAAAAAAATTGGCATTGTAAATGCATGAAAAATGTAGTTGAGCTGAACATTTCGACGGGCGTGCAGTTGACTATTAAGTCCTGCATAGCAAAATCCCCTGTAGACTCTACTTCCATTGTGGAAATTATGAGAACAACTGAGAAAAAAAAGACGACAAATAAAAAATGTAAAATAATGAAATAAAAATATGCATCCTTCCGCTGTGACGATTTTGTGCAATAACAAACTTTTTTTTTGTAACTCATTCTACTCCATTTTTATTTGTCTTCTTTTTTTATATATTTATTTAATTAAAATTTATTCATGAGCAAAATTAATTATGTACAAGCTAACAACATGCCATAGAATGTACTAACCAACAATCCAAAGCAGCCACCAACCAACAACGTACGATTCAGTCAACTTACATACTACCGTACTATAATTTTTATCTACCAGACCATGTACTCGTACGATATGCTCATGGCATATTTTTGTCCTTCACATTACTTGAAATGCATTTAAAATAACATCAGCAACAACAAAAACAAAAGCAACGTAAGTTGCATATTAAAATAGTGGCGCTGCTGCATCCGTTATACTCTTTAGTTGCTGATGGCAGGATGTTGCGCTAAGCACTAGGGCAACTTCCTGTAAAATGTGTGCTCACTTCAAGTCATAGTTTGCGTTCACAACAGCAATGGCTGCAGCAGCCGCAGAAGCAGCAGCAGCAACAGTCCATGGAACTATCCGTCTGCCATAAAAGTCGCAGCCAACTATGCAGAAGCTCTCACACCCAACATCCATAAGTCCATTTTCACCCACTTATAGTTGAAGTGTTGTTCTCATTTTATTCTTGGTTTATTTTATTACTATTTTTTACTTTTCCTTGTTTAAACACTGCCTTTTTTTAAAACTTACCATCCCATCAGCATATTTACATGCTCAGCTATTTTGCTTACCTCTACGTGAATGGTATAGATTTTTCCAGCATGTGTTTGTCGACTAGCCCACATCGGTCGGTTCATACCTTATGGCAAGTTTGCTAGTGAAATGTACGGGTTCTTATTGAAAAAGTTTTAAATTTTTAAATTGGATAGTAGAATTGAATTTGATATACAGAACTGTTAACAATATGTTATGGCTAAGATGCCATTATTTTTATTTTTGCATATAATTATTTTTAAATTATAAATAAAATTTTTTTAAATAATAATAAATACTTTTACCTTTCATTATCTGATCTGAAAAATATTATATATTGATTAGCGAAATGAATATTATCATATTAAATAAAATATTAAGATTTCAAAAAGGCAATATAAAAACAGAACATCTTTTCAGTAGAAAAAACTAATAAATTAATAGAAGGGTTCAAACAGTAATGAAGAAGCAACAACAAAAATTTAATTAATTTATTGGCCATACAACTTTGTGCCAAGAATTGCCAAGTACTCACTATCAATGATCTTACGAAATATACGAATTTTTATTAATTTAGTTTATAGTCCGTAAGTATAGAATTTGTTAGACTACAAGTGTCAGGCTTAGAACTTGTGTCTGTCAAATTAGAAACGATGACTATTCGTATTTATATACACGAATAGTCAAGGTTTTAGAAACTTTCAGTGCTAAAGTTCCAAGTTTTTTGTCACTTTATTTGTAAGTGACACTAATCAAAGCACTTGTCATGCTTTTTAAATTAGAACGAGCTTATAAACTACAGCTTTATTTGGTAACAAAAGTTTAATGAATTTAAAGTTATTTTAAATAATAATAACAATACATTAATATTGCAGAAAGTTTTTTAAACTTAAAGGTTTGAAGAAAAGTTCTAGGTTCCTACATATAAAACCACAATAGTTTCGATAGAATTCTAGTTTTTTAGATAATCAACTTTAGCACAATCATTTTACAGCTTTCTAACATTTAAGATGAATATATTTTTATCATAGTTTAATTTGTCGAAACTTTCAAAGAACGCTTCTGTTTAAAAGATGCCTTCTACATTTAAACTAACTCTCTATCCCCGAAACATTCTTTTCGACGTGTGTTAACGCATATAAGTCACTCGTGTCAAATTTGGAAAGCTTACCATTATTACTCCAAGTCCAACTTTCTCTAGTATTGAACTTAAGTTGGATTTAAAAAAACGTTCAATGTTTATGAAGATTGCAAAATAGATCTCTAACTCCCAAATGTAAACTTCCTCAAGATAATAATAATAATTCCCAAAATCTTGATGATCGTTGCAACTTTTAATTTAATATAATTCAACCTCCTGTCCTTCGATTTTGAGAACCTCGCCGAATCTTATTGTTTGAAATCAGTGAATTTGAAAATCGTTTAGATCAGTTTGAGAAACTATATTTCATTCAAAAAGTTATTCTCTAGATCCTCTCCCGAATTTAATTTATAATTGCTTCTTAACACTTATCTATAACTGAAATAAATATATATTTTGTGATGAAAGACGCGGTCTCATAAGATAATATACTCAAAACCCAACATTTAAACCAAAATAATTATAATAAAAAATTAAAGTAGTATTAATACGAAAAGGTGTCATATGCTTCCTTATTAGACTTTAAAAATTAGAACGACAAATCATACAATCCGAATACATGTATTATGTATGCTATTCCATGAAATGATTTGCAATGTAAAAATGGCACACTGCAATGAATTAATTTTCAACAGAACAATAAATATTTTATATGCCTCCTCATACCTTTCTTGGTTTATCCACTTGAGATATACTTCAGGAAACCACTTGACGTAGGTACGAACGGTGTTGTTATTGCATGGAAGGTAAATGTTTTATTTTATTTTATTTTCTTGTGAACACGCATTACTATGCATGTATGTAATGTACTCGTACTTGCAAAAGTGCACTATGTATACTAGAATGCAGTCACGCATTTAGTTATTAAGGCACCACCCACTTAACTCACTTCCCCTGACATATTTTTTATGCTCACACTGGTTTCAGAAATGCATTTCCTATGCAAACTTTTATTACATTTTTATTTTACAGAGGTTTAGAGTGAATATTTACGATAAGGGGTTGAAAAATGAACTCTTAAGTTTAGTGAAAATACCTCTATGAAGTTTTTATTTAGGTTTCAATGCAATCAAGGCAGAATTTAAGAGATCTAGGCAGAGTTAAGAGAAGGTTAGATATTTATAGATATTTATCTATATTAGACTATATTAGATATATAATCTAAACTATTGTAAATCTGAGGGGTTCTTAGGTTAGAATGCGCGTCTTAATGGTATCAAAAGATAAGCTAGATTACACGTTGGCTCTAGTCTGTCTCCGTATGCTATCCTTATTAAACATTTTAACTTTCAGCTGCAGTTAAACATTTTAATCAAAAAACAATGAGGAAACGATCAAGGTATAAATAAAGGAAGCATTCAGGTATAAAATCGCTTCGTCTGCAGTCCTGCCCAATGTATACAAACTGAGTGATCAATTCCATTTTATCATCATACTGGAAGCTCCTCCACAGTAAACTTCTCGGCGCAATAACAAGAGCATTTTATATTAGCAATAATAAGTAAATTATATTAATTTCAAAAATATAAATTTTTTGCAGATAACTTTTTTTCGCCTCTATACGATTATTAGAATATTACCAAAAAAATGAAAGAGTCCTTTACATCAGTAGTGGGTATGGAAAAAATATATAGAAAAGTATTGATGCAATTAAGACACGACGTTGTCGTTTGTCGGAAAAAACTTCCCGTCAACACATACAATTTTTTAATTAGGCTATCTTAAAACGATATCTTATATCTTAAAACGATATCTTATATCTTATACGACTTCTCAAATCAATCTGTGCAGAAAGGGTTTAACAATAAATCTATTTCTAAAGTATTTTACTATTTCCAGTTATCTTTACATTTTAATAGGATGGTCAGCATGATGTCAGTCCTATTAGAAATGATTTAGCTCACTAAAGACACTAAGACGACTTTTAGATAATTCTATAATCCTTTAAAAATAATTTCCACCTACTTCTCTATATATATACACACTCGTACATGTCACATCCTTGTATAATTGCTGTAGTTGGTTTATTTTCGCATAGTTTGTTTTTTAAGCATATATATTTGCAATTAGATCAGGTATCCATGTTGTATTATTTTATTTTTCCCTATTACTTTTAAAGTTGTTGTTTTCATTCATAAGCAGGCACTCAGATAAGTGAAGTGTAGTAGCAAGTTTAAGTTTTAATATTGTTTTTAATGATATATTATACTTAGTAGTATGAAGCCTAACATTATTTCCACATGTCATATCCTACTGAATTGAATGCTTTTCATATCTTAATCCTCCTTCTTTTCTGCTCAAGTACATTGTTAACCACTCAACATGTACACATATTTCCGTTTATTTAATTCTTGATGGGCTCTCCGTACGCCTAAGACTGGCACAATGAAAAATGACTGACGTCAATGGAAAATGCAGTTTATTGTTGCGTATTCATGAAGATTATCATTAACTCTGTATGTTTCTTTTTACCAAGCACTCGCCTATATTGCTATATTGTAGGCCGCTTTTGTAATTACTTCCTTCATATACACAGATATATATTTAGACTATGCGTTTCATTCAATTGCATTCTGCAGTCAGGATATAACGACTACGCGTGAGGACACTATTTATTTAACTTTCAGACTCAATTGTTTGTTACGTTCCAATTTACTCAATTCACTGTTATTAAAAAAAATTGTAAACTAATTATATTTTCTTAATTACTTTAAGTTAAATTCAATTTTTTTAAACTTAACAAAATCTATTTTGTTGGACGTCATCACATTCCATTTTTAGATATGTTTGATATGATTTCGTATTATCCATTAATAAACTTAAGTCCTGTCATGCTACGTACATATCTATTTATATCAATTAAATAAAATTAATATACTTAATATTAATTAATGTGACCCTTTTTTTGTATTGCAGCGCACGTCACATCCTTATCTCCATCATCAACGTCTTCCTCATTTATTAATACACCAGCAACTCTGTTATTTACTACATATCATGATATCCAAGTGGCCAATATTACAAAGCCCATGGGTGCCACCCAAATTGATATCATCATTAAAGATCTCACTGAAACCATGGCCATCGATTTTTATTATGCGAAAAATTTAGTCTGTTGGAGTGATTGTGGAAGCGGAGTTATTGAATGTATTAATATAAATAGTACGACGGTGCCTTTGACTAGGTCACCTAAACAAACTGTGATATCATCGGGTCTTGATAAGCCCGAGGGACTTGCAATTGATTGGTATACCGATAAATTATACTGGACAGATGGTGAAAAGAATCGAATTGAAGTAGCTAGTTTAGATGGAAAAATGCAGAAAGTGTTGTTCTGGACGGACTTAGACCAGCCGCGTGCTATAGCTTTAGTGCCAGCAAAACGTTTACTTATTTGGACCGATTGGGGTGAATATCCAAAAATTGAACGTGCCAGCATGGATGGTGATCCGCTAACACGTACAACTCTCGTTAAAGACAATATTTTTTGGCCTAATGGCTTAGCAATTGACTTAAAGAAAGAATTAATTTATTGGGCAGATGGTCAATTGAAATTCATTGATGTTATGAAACTTGATGGTAGTAATCGACACACTATAGTGAATAATCTCATATATCCCTATAGCGTGACCTATTTTGATAATCGTTTGTATTGGACAGATTGGTCACGTGGGTCTTTAAATACATTCGATATACAAACGAAAGAAACTAAGGAATTAATTGATCGGCCAAATGCACCAAATTCGGTAAAAGTATGGAATCCAACACTACAGCCATTTGGAGATAATCCCTGTATGCATAATAATGGAAACTGTTCTCATTTATGTTTGCTGTCTACAAATATTGAAGGTTATAGTTGTGCCTGTCCAACAGGTGTGAAACTAATTTCACCAACAACTTGTGCCAACGGAACACAAGATATGCTTTTTATTGTGCAGCGTGGTGAAATAAGCAAAATATCACTGGACTCACCAGATTTTACAATATTTCCAATGCCATTCGGAAAAGTTAAATATGCCATCGCTATAGATTATGATCCTGTCGACGAATATATTTATTGGTCTGATGTTGAAGCTTTTGCAATAAAACGTGCACGTGAGGATGGAACTGGTTTGTCTGATTTTGTTACATCAGACGTCCGCCATCCAGATGGTTTAGCAGTTGATTGGTTGGCTAGAAATTTGTATTGGACGGATACTGTGACAGACCGTATAGAAGTGTGTCGTTTGGATGGATCTGCCCGTAAAGTTCTTATATATGAACATTTAGAGGAACCGAGAGCAATTGCTTTGGCACCAACACTTGGTTGGATGTTTTGGAGTGACTGGAATGAAAAGAAACCAAAAGTAGAACGATCCTCATTGGACGGTTCGGAACGTGTGGTATTGGTCTCGGAAGATCTTGGTTGGCCTAATGGTATAGCACTTGATATTGAAGCGAAAACCATTTACTGGTGTGATGGGAAAACCCACAAAATTGAAGTCGCAAATATGGATGGCTCAGATCGGCGAGTAGTGATAAGCGAAAATCTGAAACATTTATTTGGCTTAAGTCTGTTCAATGATTATTTATACTGGACAGACTGGCAACGACGGTCTATAGATCGTGCACATAAAGTAGCAGGTGCTAATCGTATCAACGTTGTAGATCAGTACCCAGACCTAATGGGATTGAAAGTAGCACGTTTGCGAGAAGTAAAAGGCACTAATGCTTGTGCTGTTCAAAATGGTGGGTGCTCCCATTTATGTTTAAATCGCCCAAGTGATTACGTATGTCGATGCTCTATAGAGTATGAATTAGCTAATGATAAAAAAACGTGTGTCATACCAGAAGCCTTGTTACTATTTGCAAGACAGGAACATATCGGACGCATTTCTATTGATAACAATGAAGGCAATCACAACGATGAAAAAATTCCCTTTAAGGATGTACGTGATGCACATGCCATGGATGTTGATGTAGCAGAGCGACGTTTATATTGGACTGACTTAAAATCCAAATGCATTTTTAGGGCTTTTCTTAATGGTTCCTATGTACAACGCATAGTTGATGCCGGACTAATACGTCCCGAGGGTATAGCTGTTGATTGGCTAGCTCATAATATATTTTGGACAGATTCTGAGGCACGGCGCATTGAAGTAGCACGCTTAGATGGTAGCAGTCGAAAAGTTTTAATATGGAAAGGCATAGAAGAACCACGATCCCTAGTGCTGGAACTCAAAAAAGGTCTTATGTATTGGACAGAGTCACCATCAGATTCGATACGACGTGCGACTATGGATGGTGCTGACCTGCACACAATAATATCTGCAGCAAACCATGCAACCGGTCTAACGCTTGATCCAGAAACTGGTCGACTTTATTGGGCAACACAAACTCGTCCAACCAAAATCGAATCCGCTGACTGGGATGGAAAACGACGTATGGTACTAATAAGTTCTGACGTTGATGAACCTTACGCTCTATCGTTGTATAGAGATTACGTTTACTGGAGCGATTGGAGTTCTGGTGACATAGAACGTGTTAACAAGATAAATGGACAAAATCGGACTTTAGTACATAAGGGTATGCCATACATAACATCATTGTATGTATTCCATAAATATAGACAGACCGGTAGTAATGCTTGCAAAATCAATAATGGTGGTTGCACTCACTTATGTTTAGTTGTGAAATCCAGTCAACGTGGTATGGTGTGTGCTTGTCCCACACATTACATCTTAGCTAAGGACAATGTTTCCTGTATACCACCTAAAAATTATATCATCTTCAGTCAGAGAAATAGTTTCGGACGACTTCTGGCAAATACTACAGACTGTCCAAATGTGCCATTGCCAGTTATTGGCAAAAATATACGCGCTGTGGAATACGATCCAATATCGCATCACATTTATTGGGTGAGTAATATAAACTGGTCCTAAATAATATAAATAAGTTTAAACTGTATGTTTAAAAAACAGGTTGAAGGGCGAAGTCATAGTATTAAGCGTTCTCCTGCCAATGGCACACGAATTTCTGTGATAGTCGGATCTGGGTCACAGCCTTTTGATATTGCACTTGATGTTATTGGTAGATTGCTCTATTGGACCTGCTCCCATTCAAACAGTATAAATGTAACAAGGTAATACAAACCTCATATTTCTAAAAAATATAATTAATTATAAATAAATATTAATTTTGTAGTTTTGACGGAGATAATATTGGTGTAATCGATACTGGCGACTCTGAGAAACCGCGCAATATAGCAGTACATGTTATGAAGCGGTTGCTTTTTTGGACTGATGTCGGTTCTCAGCAAGCTATTATACGAGCACGTGTAGATGGAGCAGAGCGCGTGGTTTTAGCATTCAAATTGGAAGGCGTGACAGCATTGGCAATTGACCAACAAAGTGACATGATTTTTTATGCGCATGGCAAACGTATTGATTACATGGATATTAATGGCAAGAATAAGTGAGTATAAAAGGGATATTTAAAAAAAAAATATAATGAATAATTAATATAATTTATAGAAAAATACTTGTGTCCGCACACATATCTCAAGTGATTTCCATAGCTGCTTTACAAGGATATGTGTACTGGTTAGATGATAAAACAGGCGTAGAACGTGTAGCTATTAATGGTAACGAACGCCGACCTGAAATGCAACGTTTACCACAAATTACAGATATCGTTTCTGTTTGGACTCCTGAAATAAAACAATTTCGCAATCATACTTGTCTGCAGAGCCGAACCAAGTGCTCTCATATTTGCATTGCATCATCAGAGGGACGTTCTCGTGAAATATGTGCATGTCCAAAAAATCTTATGTTGCTAGAAGATAAACAAAATTGTGGCGCTCTTCCCGCTTGTGGACCAGACCATTTTACTTGTGCAGCACCTGTCATGGGTGGTGGACTTAACAATGATATGAATAAGGATTGTATACCAGCATCTTGGCGTTGTGATGGACAAGATGATTGCCCAGACAAATCAGATGAAGTAGGCTGTCCCTCATGCAGGCCCGACCAATTCAGTTGCCAGTCGGGTGAATGTATAGACAAATCACTAGTTTGTGATGGTACTACAAATTGTGGAAATGGACACGATGAAGCTGATTGTTGTAAACGTCTCGGTGAATTTCAATGCCCTATAAATAAAGTAAGTGTCTACAAATTTAATCCAGTATTTATATATATTCACAATAAGTTTCTACTTTTTATCGTAGCTTTGCATATCTTCAACACTGCTCTGTGACGGTTGGGACAATTGCGCTGATGGCGCTGATGAATCAGCCGAAATTTGTTCTACTGCTAACACACGTCGCATGGCACCTTCATCTGATAAAAAGGCATTTATGATACTAATAGGTGCTACTATGATAACAATTTTTTCGATTGTTTATTTATTGCAATTTTGCCGTTCACGACTCGGTAAAAATCGTAATGTACCCAAAGATGATCAAGCTTCAGATCCATTGTCTCCATCTACACTTAGTAAATCACAACGTGTCTCAAAAATTGCGTCCGTAGCAGATGCTATGCGCATGTCTACATTGAATTCACGCAATAGCATGAATTCATATGATCGCAATCATATAACTGGTGCATCCAGTTCAACAACAAATGGTAGTAGCATGGCGGCGTATCCTATTAATCCACCACCATCACCTGCATCACGTTCACGTCGTCCCTATCGTCACTATAGAATTATCAATCAACCGCCACCGCCAACACCTTGTTCAACAGATATTTGTGATGAATCGGATTCTAATTACACAAGTAAATCCAATAGCAACAATAGCAATGGCGGCACAAAACTTTCATCATCATCGGGTGCTGCATGTTTACAGTATCAATATGATAGTGAACCGTATCCACCACCACCAACACCACGTTCACACTATCACAGTGATGTGCGGATAGTGCCTGAATCGTCTTGTCCGCCCTCGCCTAGTTCACGTTCTTCTACTTACTTTTCACCGTTACCACCACCACCGTCACCGGTGCAGTCGCCAAGTAGAGGATTCACATAACATTTTGAGATTTTTATGTAAAAAGTTTTATCTAAGATTTGTTTTTGTAATAATATTGATTGTTAGAAATTTTATCTTTAAATTTATGTTCCAAAAGAATGTTGAAATGAGTAAGTACAACAAAAATCTTTTAAGATTTGCTTTAAAATAAATTTAATTAATTATTATGTTCAATAATAACAACGATGCTTCCGAACTATGTTTTCGATGTTTTAGTCTAACTTATTAATTTTGTGTCTATGTAAATAATGTGTATAAAATTAATTAAAAATGTAAGGAGTTTAAATCAATTTATTAAAAAAAAAATAAATAATAATATTTTAAATCAGTTATTATACATATCAAATATAATAATTATTTAATTAATGGTCATTTAAATGTAATAAATAAACGTGTAAAAATATGTACTGTATATTATGATCTTCCTATGTTTTATAAGAACGAGTTAATGACATTCTGTAAATTTCTTGTTAATATATATAGAACTTTAGTTTGTTTGTTAAACTAAAGTAATTAGTATTATTTTCTATTTGATAGTCAATTAATTAATTATATAAAAATATTTAATGCACCATATAACTTATTTACTAAAACCTTTTTATAAAATACAACGATCATGTGTACGCAATTGTATATGTGTAAATTTTATAATATATACAGTAATATATACACACATATTAGATATATATTTACATATAGCTATGACATATCTATCTATTGAATTTTTAACAAAAGTTCTTCTTAATTGTTTTGAGCCTTAATTGAAATTACAAAAAAAAAAATTATTGTAAATAATGTTCTGTATAAACAAGATGTTTAAAAAAAACAAATATTAATAAAATAAATTTTTAACTAAAGTTATTAACCACAAAATATTTACATATTTATTTGTAAAACTAATAAAAAAAATATTAAATAATTATACATAAACACAAAAACCAATGGACTGCAATTTACATATTAAGTTAATCAAAAATCAATCAATCAAAAATATTTATATATATATAGATATAAATAAAATAGATATATACATATACAATTAATAACAATATTAAATTTCTGTGTTACAATTTTATATATCGACATTAATACATTATTAAAATTATTAATATATTTTGATTTAGATTAATAACAAATTATGATTTTATTATTTACTACTAATATGTAAATTATTTTATATTTTAACTGCTTTCATGTGCCAAATTTACAAATAACTTTTATAATAAGCTTAAATGTAAGAACTATTCCTCTTCCTATATTATGAATTATTAAACATTTATCTGAAGGTATTCATAAAAAGAAATGCATAAAGTGATTAAGCAAATAGCGTTAATTAATTAATTTGACTGTAATTCCTTAAATGAATTTACGATTGAAGCATGCTTTATGAAAAAGAAGTACTTCAAGCAAATCTAAATTATTTTTTTATTCTATTATTTGTTTTTTTTTTTACAAATTTCAAGTTAAACATGACGAAAGAAAAAATTTCAAAGTAAAAAAATATTTGGAATTATTTTCATTTAATAACAAATCAAATTTCTTACTTTTTATAATAATAATATATTATGTAGTATTCTTCTATTTTTCTAAAAATAGTATTCTTCTAAAATAGATATTTACAGTAGTATAAACTAATTAAGAAAATTCAGAGCAGTGATATAATTAATTTTTATTTAGTATTTTATTACGGATTTTTATTTGCATCAAATTTGAAACTTTGTAAGATTTTGCTTTCCCAGCCACAGTGGAACCAGGCTTCCTAATTGGGTCTTTTGAGCATCGCTATTTTTTTTCTCGAGATATCGAAATTTAAAATTATAAACTTTTTACTTGGATTGCAATATAAAAGCTCTTCTGTTATCTAATGCCAACTCTTTATATGTACTTTTTTGAGTACAGAGATATCCCACTTATACAGATAATTTTTCTTACAAAGTACTTACTATTCAGTTTCGATTTAGACTAGTAGAAGATTACTAGGCCGAGATTCAACCACGTTGTAACGCATGTATTCATATTTGTAATTCTATTCATGTTATCTACTATTTAATTCTCCATAGGTTATCACAATAACACCTAAGCTGAGCCTTCCTTTGCCCATCTGATATTAAGAAATCCTTAACGGTTAATATTTTTGCCGTCATTTGAAAGGCAGAGTGTTTGCTGTTCAGTCAGAGTCAGTCAGAGTCAGTCAGCAACATAACATATCTGCCACGGTCACTGTGCTCTGCTACTTTATTCTAAACGAACAAGTTCTAACCAGATAGAATTGCTCATTCCCTTGGAGTCAACTTAAAAAGGTTTACACTTTAGAATTCACTTCGTGTTACATTTATTTTTAGCTATAAATTATCATTAATATATTATTTATATTACCAATTAACTAGTTTGCTTAACAAAATGCAATACTAAAGTACATTTCATCTTTACTGAATGAATTTCATTTTTAACATATGTTTGTGAAATTTGTTAATAAAAAGCATTTATTAATTATGAATACCAGAACGTTAATGTTTTTTTTTCCATTATATAAACACATATTTTTGTTAATTAATTTATTTTTAATATTTTTCATTAAATCATATAAAAATTATATACATATAAAGCCTTTTGCTTTATACATTTGAGTGTATTTGAGATATTCGATAAATGAAAATCTATTTATTATATTTAAAAACTTTTCACTTTGCAAAATTAAACATCAGTTGTGAAATTCATTATTTTAATGTTGAAATTGTTAATTTACATAATGTATATTTTTATAAGTAATAGGTAAAAAAATATATTATTAAAATTATGTTGCATAATTGTGTTTTAAAATTAACACCAGAAAGTGCCTCAAATAATTTGTTTTCCAAAATGTTTTCTTAGGTTTTACCCAAACAAATTTAATAATAAATATTAATTTATGTCTGAAATTAATGTTTATCTATGTTGTAGTTAATTTTAGCAAAAATATGTAAAATAAAAATTCACTTTAACAAATTAAAAATAACAGCATTTAATTTTTTTCAAAATATAGTTCAATTGTTCTTAGACAACATTTTTTAAAAAACATTAAAATTAGTCAAGATGTTAAGTCAACTTTTATTTTTATTTTAAAAATATATAAAAATATATTTAAAAAATTAGTCATTTGATTTAAAGATGTACATTTGATAATGAATAATAAATTAAATATAAATGCAGACAACTGATATAATACATATACGATATGTTTTGAAATTTGACCGATCCATCGCCGCCTCATCTTCAACAACGTGCCATCATGCATAACGTATTGTACATACATTTGAGGGAAAGCTCTTATATATGCAAAATAAACAAAAAGATATAGTCCGGAGAGCAATACGTAAAAGTTGAACTTCACAAAAAATTATAATTCAAAATGTTAGTGAGATGAACTTGGGCTGAGAAAAGTTCTTGAAAGTTTTTTCAACACTACTGTCCATTTTATAGTCGACATTAGACATCTATATATAAGTTATAAGTATGATGTCCTTGCAATTAATTTTGTTTTCCCTTTTTTTAAAATTTCCACAACATTTATAAGCGTTGCCAAGGACTTACATTAGAGCCGGTGGTCTACCCAAAAAGTGAAACCGAAATATTTTATAAAAAAAGAAGTTCCCTTATAGAATAGCATCCATAAATATATTAGAGCGAGTTTAGACAAGTGTACTGTAATTCAGTCAGTTGATTCATTTTTTTGTTGCTCTTTTACGTCTTTGCTTTATTGTTTCTTTTAGATCAAAAGCCACGATATGAGACTAAAACTCACTAAAATCTTCGCTAATAAAGACTTCTGCATGTGGTGCATGAAGGATTAAATGCTGAATTTGCATTCCAGTGATTGAGGGAGAAATTAAGAGGCCAATAGACTTAACATTTAGCAAGCTAAATATATGGAGAGAATGCTCCTGCTTCTTTATGGATATTTGTTCCTCTAGTTCTATGTGTGGAGAAGTTGTTTCTGACTTTTATAAGGACCTAGACTTTGAATTTGATTCAATGGAAAATGTTATATACTAATTTAAATTTAATATTTGTTATTTGGAGTATTTAGTTAATTGATTTTATTGCACACATAATATTAACCTTAGTTCTGGATAATGTTATCATAATAAATTTACATGTTTTTATATAAAAAAAAATGTGTCTGTTTATTAACAAGTTAAAAATGATTAGTATGTTTAAATTTTCTGTATGTCATTTTACATTTGAAATGTATAGAAAATTAATTAAATATTTATTAACATAAAAACATTAAATAGAATGCCGCATGTGTTAAATGTACAATTAATTAACGTATTTAGTATGACAGACATGTAAAAATATTTCGTCAAAAATAGACGTTTAATAACATTTGGATTTCAAATAACTTAAAAGTGTCTTATCGCAAAATGAAGAATATAATACTATAAATAATAAACTAATAATATGTTTATAATAAACTTTGTGGGGCCTTAAAGCAGTATGTCGTATTATGAAACCTAATTAAATTTAGAAAAAATGTAATTAACTATGAATTTATAACCGTTAAATATTCATAATATTTTGATATCGGTTGAGTGATTAGACTAAAAATAAGAATGGAACCCATATACGGATTTAAACCCTCATACTTAATAGAAATTGCTCAATACTCATTTATATTAAACGGAAAATATTTTTATCTTAACTATTTCAAAATAAATATATTCCTTCATATCTCGGAAAAATTTTATCATAACCTTGTGTAATTGACATTAACTATTTTTATTGCTATAATAATTACAGAGATGTAACTAATGTCGCTATATTTTATACAAAACACATATATTTAAGTAGACATATATTTTTAATCCCACTAATTCACACATTTAACAATACATACATATACGATTTGTACAATAAACCGCAGCAGATTAAATGTTTTACTTTAACTTGTTAAATCTTAGCACAATAATAGAAGATGCGGAAATTCATTCACAAAATTAAGATAGAAGTACCGACTTAGACGACTTTTTAAGACGCTATACTGTTATTATTATGAAAATTATAGTAATATATAGAGAAGATGAAATCCTTTAAGTCAAAAATGTGATCAACTTAAATTATCTATTGGTTTCCTTCTACTTATTTGTTAGCATTATAATTCAGGGTAGATTCAAAGGTTGAAACCCTGAAGTTTTGGGCTACTCTATGAATTAAATCTTCTACCATTAAAAGAGCTTACTTCGCAATAATAGGATTACCATGATATATAGTGAAACCTGACTGAGTTCGTTTGTTATAAATTCGGTTCACTGGGACATTACTGTTGATCTGGATGAAGTGATCGAATGTTTATCAAACAAAAGTTCTAGATTGCTTTTATAATTATTTATTTTTGAATAAGAATGTCCAATATATGCCTATGGACAGGAACTTTTCAATTTGATCTCTCCATTGCTATTTAACAACTTTCTTACTTTTGCAACTTGTTTATTAGCAGTTTTTAATATGGTATATGGCTTAATATGTTATATTATTCAGGTGCCTTAATCTCTTTTCACAAAGAGCAGTGCGAATAGAGCTTGTTTAAATTTTTTATCAAAAGACATTCTTTCAATGTAACCTAACAAAATAATGCACTGGGATTTGAGGTATCTTATGATATTTTAAACTCTTAATATTATTTGTATATTAAAGCTACAGCACCTTTCAATAAGTCATCAGTCTATTGCTAGACCATATGTATTTAATTAGATCTTATATGATAATATATGAATATATGAACACTTGTCGATGACACTACTTTTGAATATTCAGATTTGACATTCATAGATAAAATTGTGTCAAAGTAAGGGTTTGCATATGAATATTCCTTGCTCGAATAAATGAATTAATTTTTTTTTTATGATAATATATATAGGTCGTGTGCGAGTTAGGCTAAGTTGCGTTCTAAATGAGGGAAATTCTAAGTTGTGCCGATAATGTATTGATGTGTCGATACGTGTTGATAAATGGCAAAATGTGTGCAGTGCAAAAAATCCCAAAAAATCTCCCATTTGGTTTAGCATCAACTTAGCCTAACTCGCACACGACCATATTATCAACTGCAATACGCAGATAATAACCAGTTTTAAATGTATACATACATTCTACAGATTGATATACTACAGAACTAAGTGAAAATACTCATAAAAATGTGATTATATGAGTGCTACCGGTACTATTTAAAGGATAAATATAGCCAGTCTAATCCCTCTAATGAAGAAAGTAGCCTTAAGTGGCAACAATAAGGAAATAGAAGTTCCTTACTCCTAAAGACTCCTAAGTCTAGAAATGCTAAAGTCAGTAGTGATCTGTCATATTTGCAAAATTAAACTTGACATATACGCCTCATGTAAATCTATAGTATGAAGAGTGGGAACTTTTATTGTAGCGCCATTATAAATCAGTAATTTTCACATTTGATTTAATTAAATAAAAGCCTCATAAAGTTTATTTCTTTATTTCACATCTGTGATTATTACTAGCAGCAGATTAAGTATCAACATTCCTAGCTAGTACGCATTAAAATTAGTACCTAACGAGCCATTCTAGAGACAAGTTAAAAAGTATTCGAGTTAAACATTAAAAAAATTTAAGACAAATATCATATATATAAAAAACTTTTTTAAAATTTGAATTTTCACGTATAAATAAAATAATATAAAAAAATATGTCATTTGAGAATGAGTTTTCAAAACTTAATACCGACAAAAAGGAATCAAGAGACATATTAGAAGCTATACCAGAGCGTACCAGCAAACCTAAAGAAACTTGGGGTAATGGCATAGAGTTTCTATTCTCATGTATATCACTCTCAGTGGGCTTGGGAAATATATGGCGTTTTCCTTATATTGCTTTTCAAAATGGCGGTGGTGCTTTTGTTATACCTTATCTGATCGTTTTATTCATAATCGGTCGACCAGTTTATTATTTGGAAATAATTCTAGGACAATTTTCTGGGCGTGGATGCATTAAAGCTTTTGATCTAGCACCAATATTAAAAGGTATATTCAAATCATATAATCAAAGAATTTGAAACGAAATTAAACTGTAAAAATACACACATATATATATACATATACTTACTAATTATTATATCACTACGATTTTAATATTGTTAATATTATTAATACAGTAAATATTATTCATGAAATTAGAATATGATTCAGATGAGAACAGATATTATGCTTATGTTTGTTATGAAATAGTAACTAAATGTTCTTAATTTCAAAATTGGATGATCACTCTACCACAGTTCTGATATCAGAAATCAATCTATAAATAAACTCCATTTCTTCATTCACTCCTTTATAATCAATTCTTCTGAACTATTCTAGTACAGTTCGTACTACAATTTTTTTGAATACTAGACACATTAGTGAATTCATCAATTCGGTAATGATTCTATTGAAGGTGTAAGGCTCATATATATCGGTAGGGTTAAGATTGTGAAATACTTTGGGCAGTAACAACACAAAAAAAAACAACTTTAAACAGTAGAAAAATATTAAATAAACTAAAATATAGCTAAAACAAACATCAACAGACCAAGAAGCCAGAGACCGCTCAGCTAGAGACCACTAAGCTAGAGTCAAGTTATATAGAGATCACTGAATTAGAGAACACAATTAGAGAACAACAAAGCTAGAGGTTAGTAAGCTAGAAACCGTAAAACTGAGACCGCCATTAAGTTGAACTAGACATCATTATACTTGAGAACACTAACTTAAAAATCAGTATGCTAGAGACTGGAAAGCTTGATAACACTAACCTAGAAATCACTTGACTGGAGACCACTAAACTATATACCACTAACCTTAAGAACACTAAATCAGAGTAAGCCAGAAAGCACAAAACTTAAAGCTGCTAAGCTAGAGACCAGTAAGTTAGACGCAATTAAGCGAAAAACCATTAAGCGAGAAACCGCTTAATTTGAGATCACGAAGCCAGATAGTAGTGGCTAGTGAAAATAACGAAGCCCTATGCTCCACTGGGAGTAGAGGATAACAAAAAAAAGAAGAAGCTAGAGACTACTTAACTTAAGATCACTTTCTATTTCAATTGATAGTGTTTGCACAACAGAGTGTAAACAGGACCTACTCCTATATATTAATATATAAGATAATTATATAATAATATATAACATTATTGAATTATTTTATTAATCTAACAATTCCGATTAGTTAGTTGAAACAATAACTTCTATTGAAAGTTTTTAATAAGAAACAAAACGCTTTGAATATTTTTATTTCCGCTTTTATAATCAATACTGTTTTAACTTTGTAACTAATCTTGTACCTTTTTATTTTATAAATTAAATTAAATATTTTTTGTATTTGATTAGGAGTGACCGCAGGTCAGGTACTTGCCACAACTGCCTCCATAACATATTACTCTAGTATTATGGCGCTTACTTTGCGCTTTCTAATTGCATCTTTTTCCAAAGTACTACCGTGGAGTTTTTGTCGTTCTGAATGGGGTGATATATGTTTAGATGAAGGTGATTACAATATCAGCACCGAATACATTAATGGAAGTCGCATGTCATCAGCCGAACTCTATTTTCAGTATGTACATATATTTAAATGCAGTGGACGTAACATTCTTTAACATATTTTTCTTGCATTTTCAGAAGAGAGATTTTACATGAACAAACAGATATCAATAATGGAATCGGTTTACCAAATTGGGAGCTAGTAGGCTGTTTAGCTGTAGCCTGGTTTATTATAGGGGCAGTCCTAATACGTGGCATAAAAAGCTCGGGTAAAGCAGCTTATTTCCTAGGCATTTTCCCATATGTGGTGCTTATAGTATTACTCTTTCGTGCAGTCACCCTACCGGGTGCACTTGACGGCATAATATATTTCTTTAAACCACAGTGGAAGGAGCTACTAAATCCATTGGTAATATAAATAAAGAATTTTATTAGAAATAATTAAAGCAGAGACTAATACCTTCATATTTTACAGGTTTGGTATGCTGCAGTGACGCAAGTATTCTTCTCTTTAGCCATCTGTTTTGGTACACTTATTACCTACGCTTCCTACAATGACTTCAAGAGAAATGTATATAAGTAAGTAACATCTTGATTTTATTTAATTATATCGCTTTTTTATTATTAAACTATATATTTCAGTGACATTGTTATTATCACTACTATGGACTCGTGTTCTTCGATTATAGCAGGCTGCATCACTTTCGGTATTTTGGGTAATTTGGCTTTTAAAACGGGTGCCAAGGATATTGCTCATGTTGTTAAAGGCGGCGCTGGTTTGGCTTTTATATCTTATCCGGATGCTATAGCAAAATTTGACTTTGCACCACAGGTACGTATCGATGAAAACATTGCGCCCTTGGCGCTTTAAAGCAAAACTACCTAAAAGGCATTCGCGGTTCTTTTCTTCTTGATGTTATTCGTTTTAGGCATCGGAAGTACTGTCGGCATGGGTTCGTGTATTATACGCGTAATACGGGATCAGTTCAAAAGAACAACAAATTGGAAACTGTCTTTAAGTTTAGCAGTGCTAGGGTTTACAGTGAGCATAGTTTACATGACTCCTGGTGGACAGTTTGTTTTGAATTTAATAGATTTTTATGGTGTTTCCTTCACGGCACTCGTCTTAGCTATTGGTGAACTAGTAGCAGTTAGTTGGGTTTATGGTAAGTTAGATTTACAGTAATGGTACATATTAATTGTAATCTTTTTGATTACTTATAGGAGTAAAACGTTTTTGTCAAGACATACATTTTATGATTGGCATAAAAACTAGTAAATATTGGCGCATATGTTGGAGTTTAATCACACCTGGTTTGATGTTGGCTGTTTTGATATATACATTGATTGATATGAAACCACTCACCTATAAAAATGTAGATTACCCAGTTATAGCTCATGGTAAGCTTGACAGATGTTGTTTATCATAATGAAACTAGTTAAATGTTGAACTATTTTTTAGTATTTGGTTGGTGTTTAGCAGCTGTAGGTCTGCTACAAATACCAGGTTGGGCTTTATACGCCATATTAAAGCAAAAGGGAAAGAAAAACATTTTTAAGGTTTGTAAAGTTTGAGTCTTTCCCATTCAATGAATTTCTATAATAATGAAATTTTAGAAAATTGTTGCCATTAGCCAGCCTGCTAGACATTGGGGTCCTTTAGATGAAAATGTCTTAGAAGAATATGCAGTTTATCGTCAACAAGTTGATCTCGAAAGTAAAGCACTTAAGTCCAGTATGAAAAAGGCTATCAACAATATATTTGGTTAAGACAAAAAGAATAGAATAAAATCTAAAAAATTAAAATATTAAATTTTTTATTAGTTCTTAATTTATATGTGTTAAATTTGTTTAAATAAATTAAAATAATGTAATTAATTATTAACTTTTCTACTTTTATAATGTATTTTAAAAGAGCTTCTATTCCTTTCTGACCTTATCTATTAACAACAAATTAGTTTCACATTCTATTGGTACTCTTTTATTAGATGACATAGTAGATAAAATAATTTATATTACATTATATCATTTCATATATATTCCAGTATTGCTAAACGTTATGCTAGCATAAGAACACGATCTTAATGCAACATTACAAGGTACAAAATAAGGATAGAGGGAATTTGGGATGGGTTGGAAAAAATTAATGTAGATAGAAAAAATTGTAAGGCAAAAGCATAATTTTAACAAATGGAATGGAGTCACATATCAGCTGAACTAATTTGTAAACGTAAGCTCGTTATAATTCTTCTTGATATTTAGTCTTTTTAATTTGGAACCTGAATAATTTTAAGTGTTTACCTACCACTAGCTGATTGTTGACAGAAAACAAGATAACATGTTGACTGCAGATATCCAAATATAGATGAATTGGGGTTGGTTTACTGTGTTGTGTCTACTCAGTATATATAAAAATTTACTGCTATTACAGAGATTAATAACTGTTTCTAGTCAATTTAAAATTATCTGATTCATTATTTCCTTTGATATTGCTGATGATTAAAACAAAAGAATTTCAAAGAGTACAAGGGTGGTATGTAGCATTTTTGCTACATATCATTATAATAGGTTCCAAAAAAATTAGTTAAATATTTGAATTTGGAACTATTTCCGTACCTAAATCGCAGAACGCTAAGTGGTAAGTATTGATGATATAAACAGTCTGATTCACTTAAACACCTCACTGATTTCGATTATGAAAAAATAGAAGAATGATATGAAGAAATGAATAAAGAAAGTCTCTGAAGAATGGGAGGAAGTTTTTGTTGTTGACATAAATTTAATTACTTGCCTACTATTTCCACCAGCAATATTAAATTTTATTTAATATAAAATTACCGGTTCTTTAAATAGTTGTTTTAAAACGAGAAATTAAAATTAGCCAGATAATCAGAAAGATATTCTACATTTTTTTCGTTTATATAGCCAATTATATATTTCTTAAAATCATATATTTTTTATATGTTTATAACATGTATTATATTATTATAGTATAAAATGTAAAATCTTATATTAATTTTTTTTTTGATTATAAAAAGTATTTAAAATATTTCCTTACAATATCAGAACATATATAAATATATAAGTCGATTCATAAATAACTAAATCTATATAACATATTTAATATAAAAACAAAAACAAGAAAGTTAGCTTTGGCTTTGCCGAAGCTTTAATACCCTTCACACATATAAGTATTGTATTTTTTCCTCTTCTTTCAATTCTTTTCCACGGTGTTTATTTGTATGCGCATTTATATTTAATAATACAAGATCATTTCATTTTACAAAGCTGCTACATGATATATTAGTTATACAATTTCATTTATAAGTTGAGTTTTTTACAATGCTTTATAACAATTATCTTTTTACAACAGTTTTATTTAATCAGTGGAATTATATGTCTTCAATATTAATAGAATGTATAGATTAACTTTGCTAAATCGATCAATTTTATTACGATTAATAAGAACATTAATAGCTTATGTGAACTCTGATAACACCATTATTGTGTTAAATACATCTTTACAAACTTATAATATTTATTTTCACACAGTTGCTGTGAAGGGTGAAACAATAGAAAACTTAGTTATCCTTTAATTTTGTTTGCGATTTTTTGTCACCAACAATTATGGCGGTTTCGGAACTGTAAACCCGTTTCGTCAATAAATAATCACGAAATAGTTTATAAAATGTAAATTGATTTGTAAAAGCAACGAAAGTAATTGATAAGATAAAATGCCATTCAACAGTCTTATAGAGCACAGCGATTTGAGAAAAGATGATGGTGACTTGAACAATAGAAAGTACTATATATATTGTGGGAGGATAACTAAAAAGTTTCTGTAATTTAAATATTGAAAGTAAATTAATAAAAATAACATTTACAGTAAATCGAATTACAACTTACATAAAATCTCGAATGTGTGGAATCTCCAGGTAATGCTACTGTTACTGGCCCATAACAACGATATAACTCACCATTATACTTGATTATAATATTATTAAACCATAACGCTGATTTACTCCACGCCACTGCTGGTGAAGCAAGCGGTGGTACACCACTTCCAATAGAAGCCATCGCATTTAAAGGCACCCACATTCCAAGATGTAGACAAGCACGATGCAATATATCACAATATTTGGATGGAAACATAAAAACTGTACACATAGTTAAGCCACTAACCCACATAAAGAAGATTTGCTGCGCAATCCAAGAAAAATTATAATTTATAGAAACGGCAAATACGCACGGCAAGAAACCAGCGTAATAGGCATTAATTGATGCAGTGAACATAATCTGTTTAAAACGATTATTAAAATCAATACGCAACAAATCAATTTCTTCACGTATAGTTGCTGGGTTAGAGGAGCAGCAATGCATTGGCATACCATTTAGATAGGCACCTTCTACAACACATGAGCTTCGTAAAAATGGTTCCATACGAAAACCGAACATAATCAAGTAGACAATGATGCTAAAAAAAATATTTACATAGTTATGAATAATAGTACATATGTATAGAAATATCTTACGGATAAAATAATACAAATATGGAGAGATATGTATGCCGTGAACCAATTCGGTATGCACAGAAACAAAGTTCAAACAAAACGTATCCACCGTAGACGTAACGTGCAATTTTACGATAATAACGAAGTTTTTTACTACGCGGGAGCTTATCAAAACAATGTAAAAAGCCACAATAAATCAGTCGACGAGAACTGAATACTAATAGAAATGCAACCAAATAAGGATCAATAAGATAAATGTTCTGTGAAAAATTAAAATACATTAATACATATAGGAAAATTTAGTAACATATGCACTGGTACATACCACTGTATGATTGATGTATGAATCTGGTAGCCACCAAAGAGTGCGATATATATTTATAAATTGCATCGCTGAACAACACGATATAAATAGAAACAAAATCAATTCATTTACTATTTCAGAAGAACCACTGCAATCTGGAAATGGTATATGCTTGGGCATAGGAATAAAGCTGTTACCGGCACCGCTTGTTGATACTTTTTTCGCTGTTCTTGTGCCTCCATCATTACAGTCGTTCTCTTCAGTAATCATTACAAATTATTTTAAATAAAATGCTTTTAATTAAATTTACAAGACTATTGAACTGTTAAACCTATTTAATAGTTTAAAATTTATATTAAAATCGCTGAATTCGCGTAGAAGAACTGTTTGCCTTTGTTAGACCAAATAATATTATTGTTTGTAATTCTTTGACACATCGAATGTCAAATTTTGTGAGCAAGCACAGAACGAGTCTCGTTTCAATTATATTCAAATAATTTAAACCTGCAGAAAACTCATTACAACCGCTAAAATGTATAGAATGCTCAATTTTATAATTTTAACTGAACATAATATATATTGAATTTAGAAAAAAAAAAAAACAATAATATAATTGAGAAGCACATAAACTATTTTTTATTATGAAGAGAATTATCATTGCAAACAATATATACAGTTATTGTAAATATATATATATATATTTATGCATGTTAGTTTGTAATTTTATAAACTACAAACTATCATTATTAATATATCAATAGGGCACAATAGACCCTTTTTTAAATAATCATTATTAATAAAAATAATAAAATATAATATTTTTATTTGTAGCGTATTTTATTTCCTACGTAACAAAACATCTTAAACTATAAATAAAATAAAAACATTATTGCATAAAATTTACAAATCTTTCAACAATATTTATTAGAAAAATCCAATAAGAAAATATTTACTTTTTATTGCCAGTAAAATTCCAGGAACTGCCATTACTATGATCGCGTATTTCGATACCATGCGATTGTAAGCAATTTCTTAATTCATCACAAATTTCAAAGAGCTTATTGTTTTTAGTAGCAATTGCGCGATCGCGAATAATTTTGCGTGAACGAAGTAAATCTTCCAGCAGCTCATTAACATTAACATGGCAATCACTTATTACCGAGTCTGCAGCATTTTGCATAGTAAAAGCAAAACCAAATGTTCGTAAAATTTGTTGCATGTAATTGCTAACAGCAGCAATCGTATCCAAGCAACTCGTTGTAGTCAAACCAGTATCTGTGCCAGAGTTAATGACACGACTGATATTCGTATTATGTTCAAGTAACAGCTGAATAACATGCGACGTATCGAAATCATTTTTGATTGCTTCATCCACTTGGCGTTTAACATGACTAAGATTTTTAAGAATTTCAATGCCATCCAAATTGACACTTTTCTTTTTACCTTGTAAATAAGCTTGACAATCCTTATCAAAATCTTTAAACTTATTTAAAGTGGCTCTAGCAGTTTGCATTAGTTCGTCACCATATTCCATTGCATTTCTATAATTTGATAGCGCACATGCCATACGAAACTCATCTGCTGTGTACACTGATAACATTTCTGCTATAGAAATTGTGTTCTTTAGCGACTTTGACATCTTTTCTGTCTGTCCTTTCACATTTAAATGACCTGTATGTACCCAATAATTCACCCATTGTTTGGTATTGTGATAAACACAACATTGTGCCTCTTCATTTTCATGATGTGGAAATCGTAGGTCCACTCCACCAGCATGGAAATCTATTTTATTACCAAACAAAAAACTAGCCAATACGCTGCATTCAATATGCCAACCTGGTCGTCCGTTTGACCAAGGTGCTGCCCATGCTGGTTCATCTGGAGTTTTCTGTGCTTTCCAAAGTGCAAAATCAGTAATTGACATTTTATTGACTGCTCCAACTGTGGTAGGTGTTACAGTTGTTTCAACAGCTGTTAAATTTAATTTTTGTAATTTGCCATAATATGGAAAATTCTGCACCTTGAAATAAACTGATTTATCATCGCCACAATAAGCATAATCTTTCGCAATAACATTTTCAATAAATGCTATTATCTTTGGCATATGTTCAGTAACGCGAATTTTCAAATTTGGTTCACTAACATTTAATTTTTTCATATCAGCCCAATATTCTGTTTCGTAGAATCGCGCGATTTCTTGCCAGTTAACACCAGTTTCTTTACTTTTGGCTATAATTTTATCATCAATATCTGTTATATTCATTGCAGTTACTAAATTCAGTTTAAAGTAATCACGTATTATGCGTTGAATTATGTCTAATTTTACATAGCAGCTAGCATGTCCTAAATGTGCAGAGTCATAAACAGTAGGCCCACACGTGTACCACGTAATATAATCCGTAGAAGGAAATATAAGTGGTACATTTTTTTTTGCTACACAGTTATAAATTTGAAGACCAGAATCCTGTCCAATTGAAGGTTTTACCCAATTGATATAATTATGCTCCTGCTGATATTTATTTGTGGTATGCAAACATCTTTTGTGTCCAATTGATTTTATTGTAATCCAAAACCTTTGGCTAGGTAATATGCTACTTTAAAATATATATTTTATTACACATATTTAAAAAATATATTATCTTTGAGGTACCTTAATTTGGACATTATGTTTGAAACTCTTGCATTTGTAGAAAAATATAATTTTAGAAGTAAAAGTTTTCAAAGTTTTCGTTTCAATGTACAACAAATGGTAAAATCAAAACAAAGCAAAAATTTGTTTTGATTGTGACAATTGTCAAGTTGCCGGTGAAGAGGGTTGCCATGGTACTTTTTGTTTGTGAAGAACAGAATAGAAAGTAATTTTGTAATGACATGTTCAAGCTATTATCATAATATGCTAACTGCATAATACTGTAACATATGCTAGCTAAAAATTTGTTATTGTTGTTGTAGCCCAGTGGAAGAGGAGAGACGAGCGACTGACTGTTTATATATGTAGACGAGTGGTGCCGTGACGCAGACTTTGCCCTTCTTGGAATCAGAAACAATTTGTAGAAATCCTATGCTTTTAATGGGATATACTTGAATTAATAATTATTTTTAATTGTGATGAATGCAATGTAAATGTTTTCACGGTCGAATCATAAAATTGATTTATTACAATTAAAGTGCTGGTCTGTTATTAAATGTTTACTTAAAGTTTTTTATAAGATATTTAGACAAAAATAATTTGTTTTTATCAGTATGAATTGATTTCTATTATAATTGATATGAAGTATAAATCAGAATAAAAATTGAATGATTTGTTTATAGCAATAAATGGAACAAAAATAAAATATATATTTTTTAAAGTATTAAAATAAGTCAATCTCATCTTAACATAAATTTAATGCAACTACATAAATTGTATAACATGATGCAACTCTGCTTTTAGACAGCTGTTAAGATTTTTTGACTTCAAATGTTTGTGGCCATTATTTATTTATTGTAGAAGAAAAATCTATTTTAAACGGCTTCAAGATGATGCGCTATGAAGGTGAAGAAAAGCTTGCTGACACATCAACCTGTGCCGGAGTGCGTGCTGATTTAAAGATGTGCTTACTGGAGAGTGACTGTTGCCGAAAGGTAAAAATTTAGTAAATTGATTAAAAGTTGAAAAGCTGATTTCAAAACATATTCGAACACTTGCATAATTTTGGTTCGCCTTTATGTTAGCTGGAATTATCAAATAATAATACTTAAAAAATATATTAATATATTTTCTATTTCTGTAGGATAAGAAAACACCACGTGAATGTCTACAAAGCCATAATGTTCCTATTGAGTGTCAGGTTTTAAGGAATACATTTTTTGAATGTAAACGTTCATTGGTAAGTTTTTTTTTTTTTTGGTATGTAAAAATGGATATTTACGAAAATTTGATTATTTTTACAGTTGGATAATAGGACACGTTTTCGTGGACATAAAGGATACTAAAAGCGCATAAATTACAAATTTATAACAATAAGTTTTTTTTTTGTTGAAGATTTGAAATAAAATGTTGATATAAGTTAAAAACAAAAACTAACATTTTATTTGTGTTAGTATTTATTAACAAAGTGTATATAATTTAGGTTTCGATGTTTATTATGACTATTCTTCAATAAAACTTATTACTATTAAATTAATTTTAAGAACAATGTTTGATTGAGTTAGAAATGCATTATATTTATATACCTTCTTATATGTAATATATGTCCAATATTTTAACTTAAAAAATTTCTGAAATTTGTATAAAAATTATAAAAAAAACTTTTATACAATATAAATAAAAATTCTAAATTTTTACTAATCATACGGGATAAATTATATCCCGTATAACTCGAATAATAATAACTCATTAGCACATATTTCCAATTATTGTTTTGATTGCGTATGAGATATTCAAAACTTTCACATGAATACCTTTCGAGTGGCGATTAGCCAACTATTTGTTATTTTTGCAATAGTCCATTATATACAGATTACATATATACATTACACTTGCTCTACTTTTCATACTATTTGCAATTATATATTACTATTAAAAATAAATTATTCAGACATAAATATATTAAATTTCTTACTGATGCATACCCTATGTATTAAATACTCATTGCCATAACGTAATATTAACAATTTACAATAACAATAATTTAAAATTAAACTTAATTTCCTCTCAATAAATTTATGTAAACAGCTTTTGGAGAAACATTTATGTAGTTTCACAATTAAACATTTTATTAAATGAATTAATACTCTAACTTAACAAAAAAATACATAATTAATGACTACTTATTATGTACAAAATTATTCAAGTTCCGTAAAGAAAGTATTTCCCAATTCAAATTCATCATTTTCTAATGCATCATCTTGCATTTCTTTACTAAATTCATTGAAAAACTTTCCATTTGTGTCTGCATTCCAAGTGTCATTATTTAAGCTATCCTCTACGATTTGCACCATATTTACATGTTCATATGTACAATCAGTGTAATCGAAGTTATCTGCATCTGAAGCCACCAGTGGACTTAAATCATATCGCTCTTTAAAGAAATCCAAAATTTGTTGCTTTTTAGTAAAATTATTAAATTCTACACGTAGTTTGCGATTCATATGACTGCTCCACATAAACACCAAATGATGATGAAAGCATTGAAAAGTCAAATTATCTTCAGCTTTAGCTGCTATATCCAGCCATTGTTGCACACTCGTTAACGTAGTGTCCGGCACATCTTTAAAGGCCGGATTAAAGAGTGCAGGATTTGCAAGTAGACCACGTGCAGCCATAACACCATCAGCAGCTGTATGATTATGTAAATCTACAGCATCTTGCCAGGTTTGTACATTACCATTCACTATTAATGGTATACGCAAAGACTGTTTAAGTTCAGCCATAGCCGGTATATTAAGTGGATCGGAAGTTCGTTGCCAAGCTGTACGTCCGTGTATTGTTAAAAACGTAACGCCACACATTTCCAACTGTCTCGCTAACTCTATTGTAGACTCTACAGATTGCCCATTAAGTAAACGTAATTTTACCGAAACACTAAAATTACTAGGCAATGTTCTACGTACCTCTTGAACGATATCATGTACAATCTCTGGTTTGCGTAGTAAACCACAACCATAGCCTTTTGCAATTGCCCAAGATTGTGGACAGCCACAATTCAAGTCGACACCATCCACGTAAGGGTAAATTAATTGTGCTCCTGTAACGAATTCCTGCACACCACATGCCGCAAATTGTGCTATTAATGGATTATCATCGAAAGTTGTGGTAAACTCATTCTGTCGTGCTTTTTCACTTCTATTAAAGGAATCGGCCACAATCATGGGTGTGAAACATAATTTTACTCCGTTTTGGCGCAATAGTTTGCGAAATTCTAATTTACTGTAGCGCACCATCGGTGCACTTACACGTAAAAAGCCATGTTCACTTGACTTTTCAGTTGCAAAAATATTCAATATGTCATGATGTGATCGCTCATTAGATATAGAATTCATATTTCTTCTGTATGGGCTATAATTATTTTGTTTCGTTTGTTTACTTCTAGTTTTGCGTTATTTGTTTACAATCTTATTCACGTTGCAATAGAAATTCACCACACCTCATACACTGAAGCAAGGTTGTATTTTAGTGACAGTTGGTTTAGTTAAAATTTATGTATTTATATTTATTTATAAGTTTTATTATCCTTGTTAGTCACAAACAACAATAATAATTCAAACGTTAAGACTTTTAATATGTGTTAAAAATAAAAAATTAAACTTTAATGACAGTATTTTATATTAATAATATATATATACGCTCATTTATATTCAGAGTACTTGTGAGTTTAGATTTTTAATTATTTCTCTGTTGGAAAATGCTTATGTGATTAAGATAAAATAAAAACTAATTTTTAGGCTTTTAGTTTATCTTTTTTTCGTATGTATCTGTTAATACTTAAACAAATAAATACGTTAAAGAGAAGTTAATTAATTACCATAAAAAGGTTTCACTATTAAGTTTAAGTTAATATAAAAATAATATAAAAAGATCTATGTTATAGAGCCATTATAGACTGTCGATCAATGCCATAAACCATGCAACAGGGACTGACTTCCAACACAATAAATATCCTGACTAAGATATTAAATATAATAGACATTTACTAAGTTTAACCATATATAATTTTAATTGTTTAAAGAAATAATGCAATTAATTAACAATTAAATCGTTGAGAAAAAGTTATTATATTTTTTCTAACATTAAATCTTATTTAAACTTATACGAACATGCAAATATAATCTTTATCATTAATAAATGATATATGGATTTTAATTTCTTCTCCTTCTAACTCTGGATATACGCCAAGCATTTGGCTCCTCATATTTATTATAGAGAGGTTCAAGACGTTGATTTTTCTTGAATTTACTTAATTTTGTGGGGTCAGAGAACCTAAAGAAAGATGGTGCAAATTCCACCAACCATTTAGGATCGATGGTGGTTACTTCTCGCATGTACTCTTTAGTAGTTTGTACAAGCTCGTGATATATAACCCATTCCGGTTGTCGATTAAAGAGAGCACTTGACGGATGTATGTAAACAACTTGAGAGTCTACCAGAGTACGATAACCTTCCTGGGGATCTTTTTTCGCAGCATTTCTAAAGAAACCTGAACATATTGCTTTTTGTATGCGTACAGAATTTTTTCCCGCTGATACAACATCCAGTTTATGTCGATCCATAATACCAAGCAGCTGCTTTCGAACATCTTGTGAACGTTTCAGTGTGCGTATTTGTACAAAATTTTCATAGCACCATGCATTGGAGAATTTATTGTTTTTCCAGCTGTTGTAAACCGCAAGTAACGTTAAATGATCACCTATGAATGTAAAATAAAATTAGTTAATTTAGAAGAGAAACGAGTTTACTTAAGAAATGAGTACTTACCTTCAGCTTGGTTAAATTTCGCTTTTTTCTGATCTGCTAGTGCTTGTTTATCCTTAGGTCTGTAAAATACATTTTGTACACTCAACATGGAGACAATAGTTAATACCTCATCGGAGCATTGCAAAGCTACAGACATAATAAGCATTTTCGAAAGATTCGGCTCTAAAGGAAATTCTGCCATCCGTCTTCCCAAACGTGTTAGTAAACCTTCATCATCGAGTGCCGAAAGTGAGTGTAGATTTTCCAATGCCATCACTAATGACTCAACAGGCGGCGCATCCATAAAATCGAAATGCAAAAGGTCATTTATGCCCATTGTTTTAAGTTGCAGCACAGTCATAGCCAGATTAGTTCGTTGAATTTCTGGTACTGGGGTTGGCAACATTTCATCCCTATAAGCACGTTCAGTATATAACCGATAACATTTACCAGGTCCTGTACGCCCGGCGCGACCAGCTCTTTGTTTAGCAGCAGCCTAATCATAAAAAGATGTGTTAAAAAACTGTATTTAAAAAGAAAATTTTATTAATACCTGCGAAATTGGTGTAACTACCAATGAGTCCATACCAGTCTTTGAATTGTAGACTTTTTGTTTAACAAACCCGGGATCAACTACATAAAATATTCCATCAATCGTCAGAGATGTTTCGGCGATATTTGTGGCTATAACCACTTTTCGACTACCCGCAGGTGCCGGATCAAAAATACGTGTTTGCATTTCTGAAGGCAAGGCAGAATAGACTGGTAATATTATTAACTCGGGCACATCAGGACCTAAACTTTTCATTCGTTCATAGAGTATTTCACAAGCAGTATCAATTTCCTCTTGACCCGTCAAGAAGAGTAGTATATCTCCAGGTGGTTCACGTAAGTGTATTTGCATTACAGTAATCAATGAAGCATCTAAATAATCCGTTTCTGGTTCTTTAGTATATAGTACTTCAACAGGGAATGTACGACCAGGTATAGTAAATATGGGTGCTTCGAAAAAGTACTGTGAAAATTTGACAGCATCTAACGTAGCAGAAGTTACAATGAGTTTTAATTCCGGTCTTTTTTGTACAGCAGTCTTTAGTAATCCAAATAAGACATCAGTATGTATGGTACGTTCGTGCGCCTCATCCAACATTATAACCGAGTATGATCTCAGGTCAGACTCCATTAGACATTCTCGCAATAACATACCTAAAACATTTAATATTAGTTTTGCGTACTTTGTTGAAAATATTTTACCTAACCATCTGTCATGTATTTTATTGCAGTTTCTGAGCTTGTGCAGTCTTCAAAACGTATTGTGTAACCAACTTCCTGCCCCAAACGGCAACCAAATTCTTCCGCCACTCGTTTTGCTACGGACATAGCAGCAACTCGTCGAGGTTGTGTACAACCGATTTTTCCTCGTGCTGTGAACCCACATTCAGCTAAATATTGAGTAATTTGAGTTGTTTTGCCTGAACCCGTTTCACCGATAACAATTAGAATTTGATTATCAGACACCGCTTTAATAAGATCATCTCGCAATTTATAAATTGGAAGTGATTGACGTTGTTCTACTAAAGACATATCAGTTTTTTTACCAAAGGATGACTTTTTGCCACCAATGACATGTTTCTTCCACTCTGGTACTTCCATGGGTGCAGCACCAATACCACGCATATTTGCTGCCAATGTACGACTATCTTCTTCAGGTAAAGGATCAATCCAATTTTTGTTTAAGCTAGCTGGTAACGCATCCATATCTTGTTCGCGTTGTAACATTTTTTGTTCCCGACGTTCTTTAGAAAGTGCTGACTGCATCATAGCTGCTTGTGCCAGTGAACCATCTGGATTCTTAACTATGCGTACAGGTGAGAGATCATGCAATGCACGACCGTGACCAGATAAAAATGGTGGTTCTTCTTCAACAATTTCAATTTCTATATCAGCTTCGTCGTCTTCTTCTTTGGGCAATAACCCCGTTTCCTCATCAAAATCGGGTAACTCACTACGATCAAGCACACCAGAACTTATCATTTGTTTAATTTCCCAACGTTCTGGACTAGATATACGAGTGACACGCTTACGCGATTCGTTTTCATCGTTATCCATATTTCCGCCCTGCAATAGATTAATAGAGATAAGATTAATCAGACATAAAAAATTATTTTAAAACTTACCTTTAAATTAAGCAAGGAAGTACTACTACTAAATGGTCTATCCGGATTGCGGTCCCTATGTTCCTGCTCTGGCGGTGGTGCATGGGAAAGTGGATTTAAATCCCTACCCGTTTCCTGTTCAACCTCTTTCATTGAAAGTGAAACTTTTTGTCCAGTTATGGACATTACTTTTACTTTAACTGTTTGATTACGGTGCACAACTTCTGTAACATCTGTTACCCGTCCCTCTGAGCGCAACTGTGATATATGCACCAAACCTTCCCAACGTTTGCGAAGACCAAACAGTTGTACAAAGCAACCGAATGGAACAATATTCTCAACTTTACCACTGTAAATATTGCCTGGCTCAGGGTCGTCAGGCATTGGAGTTGGCGTTGCTTTTCGTTCTCTTTTACTGTCACGGCGGCGTTCATGGGAACGCGATCTAGAACGATGTTTTCTACTACGTTCATGAGATCTAGAACGGGAGCGACGCTTCGTACGCTCCCTAGATTTTGATCTCGATCTTCTTTTTCTTTCATTACGTTCGCGTGAACGTGACCGATGCCGACGTTCATTTGACTTTCTACGGCGATCAGAACGATGTCTGGATCTTGAACGCGAACGACGGTCCATACGCTGCCTTGATCTGGAAGATGAACGGCGATCACGACTACGTTCCCGATTTCGTTCTTTACTACGTTCCCGATTCCGTTCTTTACTACGTTCCCGATTTCGTTCTTTACTACGTTCTCTTTCGCGTTTTCTGCTTCTATGTGGACTTTTTGAACGTCTATCTGATCTAGATTTTACTTCTGTTCTTTCCTTACTCTCACTTTGTTTATCGTCGTTACTTGGTGCTAGTGCTTCAAGTTCCGACATTAGATCATCCACTACAGCTTTATCTTCATTATTAACAGGTTCAGCATTGATACTTTCGGTATTAGTTTCTTCAGCTTCACTTTCACTTTCACTTTCGTTTCCACTATCATATTTGCTAAATTTATCATTTGGTAATGCTAAACCCGGAAACATGTGCGTTAGTTGCTCTTTTTTGCCACTCTTTACATTTACATTATCGCTGAAGTCATCGTCACTACTGGGTTTCATTAGTTTTATTATACGTTGCAAACTGGCAACAAATGAATCTGGAAATTCTGCGCCATTACTATGCAGTGCGGTACGGAAACTATCTAGAGTTGAATTTTTTTCTTCCAGATCGATAATAAACTCCGCCAAGTCTTTATCATTTATTCCCAAATGGTTATCGAGTTCGGTGCAAATTTTCGATACCAGTGACAGATATTCGAGTTTGCGTAAATCCTCCATAATTCTACTTTATTAAATTTATAGATTGAATTAAATTTATTTTTTGTATTAAATTTCAGTCCACAAACATTTTCAGTATTGTTTATAAACGAGGTATTTTGGCTGAATGAATGAGGTGCAGAAGTTCGTATATATACATATCGTCAGCTGTGCGCAATGAAGAAGTGATGCCATATCTTTTACAAAAACTCACCAGAGTGTTGTGTGGTAAATAAATATTCAAGAATTTTTTTAAAACATTTCAAGTAATATTTGCGTTTTTTGCATAAATATATCAACTAATTAGTATTTTATTTTTAATTTCAGTGAAATACGATCTGATTTCTAATAAAATTGTTGTCTGGCGGTTGATACCACAATTGTGCTGCTTTGGGTACATGTAAACACAGAACTCGTATCTCACCACAGTTAACTTATGATATTCTTCAAGAACTAATAAGTTTGCTGAATGTAAAATCAAAAAGTGCTGAATATACTTTTGACAGCTATCAGTTAGAAAATTTGAACAATAATAAGAACATGCATATTACATTGATTAAAATTAAGTAATCAAAAACATGTCCTCCCGTTTATTAATATAAATTTATTTTTGGCAACTCAGCATATTTAATCAGTTACAGTCCACGCAAGGTTTGAAGCAGCTTTGCGATTATTTTACTTCAGGATCTTACTAGCATGGGATGGCGCTAGCTTCTCAGGGTCTGAAACATTAATTTAATATAAATTTATTTTTGACAACTCGGCATATTTAATCAGTTTCAGTCTACACAAGGTTTCAAGCAGCTTTGCGATTTTTTTGCGTCAGAATCTCACTAGCATGGGATAGCGCTAACTTCTCAGTGTCTCAAACATTAATTTACTGATATATCAGTAAAGCTGTAGACATACTGAATTAAATCGCAAAACATCAAAATCAAATACAAGTTATTTCTCTAAAATTTTCGTTCCGCGCTGTTCGAAGTATTAATATCACATAAAAGATAATAATAACTCACTGCAACGACATTAAAAACATTTCAACTTAATAAAGATTTTACTAATAAGCGATAATAGTAAATTAAATGAAAATTGCTGGAACTTTGGATGATGTCTATATGTCATGCAGATTAGCAATTCTTGAGTGCAATTAATAGATAATAATATAAAAAAATAGTTTCCAATTTTCATCTTTATGTTAATAAAGAGCACTAAATATATTTGATCAATTTTTCATATATACAATTTAAACGTATTCTAATATTAATATACAATTATATAATATAATGTATCGACAAATGAATCGTTTACATAGCTTAGTTTCTTCTCTTTCGAACTCTGGATATGCGCCAACCATTCGGTTCCTCATATTTATTATAGAGAGGTTCAAGACGTTGATTTTTCTTGAATTTACTTAATTTTGTGGGGTCAGAGAATCTAAAGAAAGATGGTGCAAATTCCACCAACCATTTAGGATCGATGGTGGTTACTTCTCGCATGTACTCTTTAGTAGTTTGTACAAGCTCGTGATATATAACCCATTCCGGTTGTCGATTAAAGAGAGCACTTGACGGATGTATGTAAACAACTTGAGAGTCTACCAGAGTACGATAACCTTCCTGTGGATCTTTTTTCGCAGCATTTCTAAAGAAACCAGAACATATTGCTTTTTGTATGCGCACAGAATTTTTTCCTGCTGATACAACATCCAGTTTATGTCGATCCATAATGCCAAGCAGCTGCTTTCGAACATCTTGTGAATGTTTAAGTGTGCGTATTTGTACAAAATTTTCATAGCACCATGCATTGGAGAATTTATTGTTTTTCCAGCTGTTGTAAACCGCAAGTAACGTTAGATGATCACCTATGAAAGTAAAACAATGTTAGCAAACTTAAAAAAAAAGAAATTATTTTGTTTTGATTTTAAATATACTTACCCTCAGCTTGATTAAATTTTGCCTTTTTCTGATCTGCTAGTGCTTGTTTATCCTTAGGTCTGTAAAATACATTTTGTACACTCAACATGGAGACAATAGTTAATACCTCATCGGAGCATTGCAAAGCTACAGACATAATAAGCATTTTCGAAAGATTCGGCTCTAAAGGAAATTCTGCCATCCGTCTTCCCAAACGTGTTAGTAAACCCTCATTATCAAGTGCCGACAGTGAGTGCAGGTTTTCCAATGCCATCACTAACGACTCAACAGGCGGCGCATCCATAAAATCGAAATTTAATAAATCATTTATGCCCATAGTTTTCAGCTGTAACACAATGTAAGCTAAATTCGTACGTTGAATTTCTGGTATTGGTGAAGGTAACAATTCATCCCTATAAGCACGTTCAGTGTATAAGCGATAACATTTACCAGGTCCTGTACGCCCGGCACGACCAGCTCTTTGTTTAGCAGAAGCCTAAGAAAATACGAAAAGTTAATAAGATAAACTAAAAAATAATGATTTTTACTACCTGTGAAATTGGTGTGACCACCAATGAGTCAAATCCAGTTTTCGAATTGTAGACTTTTTGTTTGACAAACCCGGGATCAACTACATAAAATATTCCATCAATTGTCAGAGATGTTTCGGCGATATTTGTGGCTATAACCACTTTTCGACTACCCGCAGGTGCCGGATCAAAAATACGTGTTTGCATTTCTGAAGGTAAAGCAGAATAGATGGGTAATATAATTAACTCAGGTGCATCAGAGCCCAAACTTTTCATTCGCTCATAGAGTATTTCACATGCAGTATCAATTTCCTCTTGACCAGTCAAGAAGAGTAGTATATCTCCAGGTGGTTCACGTAAGTGTATTTGCATTACAGTAATTAATGAAGAATCTAAATAATCGACTTCAGGTTCTTTAGTATATAACACTTCAACAGGGAATGTACGACCAGGTATAGTAAATATGGGTGCTTCGAAAAAGTACTGTGAAAATTTGACAGCATCTAACGTAGCAGAAGTTACAATGAGTTTCAATTTGGGTCGTTTTTGTACAGCAGTCTTCAGTAAACCAAATAAGACATCAGTGTATATGGTACGTTCGTGTGCTTCATCCAACATTATAACCGAGTAAGATTTCAGATCAGATTCAAGTAGACATTCGCGAAGTAACATTCCTATAAATAAAAAAATATGTAGTTAAATCAATCATTTAGTAAAAATATTTTTGTTTACCTTCAGTCATGTATTTAATGGTAGTCTCAGGACTTGTACAGTCTTCAAACCGTATGGTGTAACCAACTTCCTGACCTAGATGACAACCATATTCTTCTGCCACACGTTGTGCTACTGAAGTGGCAGCCACTCGTCGAGGTTGTGTACAACCGATTTTTCCTCGTGCTGTGAACCCACATTCAGCTAAATATTGAGTAATTTGAGTTGTTTTGCCTGAACCCGTTTCACCGATAACAATTAGAATTTGATTATCAGACACCGCTTTAATAAGATCATCTTGCAATTTATAAATTGGAAGTGATTGACGTTGTTCTACTAAAGACATATCAGTTTTTTTACCAAAGGATGACTTTTTGCCACCAATGACATGTTTCTTCCACTCTGGTACTTCCATGGGTGCAGCACCAATACCACGCATATTTGCTGCCAATGTACGACTATCTTCTTCAGGTAAAGGATCAATCCAATTTTTGTTTAAGCTAGCTGGTAACGCATCCATATCTTGTTCGCGTTGTAACATTTTTTGTTCCCGACGTTCTTTAGAAAGTGCTGACTGCATCATAGCTGCTTGTGCCAGTGAACCATCTGGATTCTTAACTATGCGTACAGGTGAGAGATCATGCAATGCACGACCGTGACCAGATAAAAATGGTGGTTCTTCTTCAACAATTTCAATTTCTATATCAGCTTCGTCGTCTTCTTCTTTGGGCAATAACCCCGTTTCCTCATCAAAATCGGGTAACTCACTACGATCAAGCACACCAGAACTTATCATTTGTTTAATTTCCCAACGTTCTGGACTAGATATACGAGTGACACGCTTACGCGATTCGTTTTCATCGTTATCCATATTTCCGCCCTGCAATAGATTAATAGAGATAAGATTAATCAGACATAAAAAATTATTTTAAAACTTACCTTTAAATTAAGCAAGGAAGTACTACTACTAAATGGTCTATCCGGATTGCGGTCCCTATGTTCCTGCTCTGGCGGTGGTGCATGGGAAAGTGGATTTAAATCCCTACCCGTTTCCTGTTCAACCTCTTTCATTGAAAGTGAAACTTTTTGTCCAGTTATGGACATTACTTTTACTTTAACTGTTTGATTACGGTGCACAACTTCTGTAACATCTGTTACCCGTCCCTCTGAGCGCAACTGTGATATATGCACCAAACCTTCCCAACGTTTGCGAAGACCAAACAGTTGTACAAAGCAACCGAATGGAACAATATTCTCAACTTTACCACTGTAAATATTGCCTGGTTCAGGGTCGTCAGGCATTGGAGTTGGCGTTGCTTTTCGTTCTCTTTTACTGTCACGGCGGCGTTCATGGGAACGCGATCTAGAACGATATTTTCTACTGCGTTCATGCGACCTAGAACGGGAGCGACGCCTTGTACGATCCCTAGATTTTGATCTCGATCTTCTTTTTCTTTCATTCCGTTCGCGTGAGCGATGTTTATTTGACCTTCTATTTGGACTACGAAGACGTTTCCAATTGCATTTTATAGGATCTGTTCCGGTTTTTTGATTTTTCATCGAAGGACTATTTGACCGCTGTTTTGTTTTTGTTGCAACCTCAACACTTGGAGCCAATGATTCCAGTTCCATCATTAGATCGTCAACAACAGTTTTGTCGTTACTTCCATCGACGGTTGCATTGTTTGCAACGTCATCTTTTTTTTCACCATCTTTAATATGTGCGCTAAATTTATCATTTGGTAATGCCAAACCAGGAAACATAAGTGTTAATTTATTTTTTTTATTACTCTTAAAACTGTCGTTACCTGAATGCCAATTATCATTACACTTGGGTCTCATCAATTTTATTATGCGTTGTAAATTTGCTATAAAAGAATCTGAAAACTCTGCACCAAAGTTGCATAATGCATCCCGAAAACTATTTAAAGTTGGATTTTTTTCTTCCATATCGATAATAAACTCCGCCAAGTCCTTATCATTTAATCCCAAATGGTTGTCCAGTTCAGTGCAAATTTTCGACACCAGTGAAAAATATTCGAGTTTTTGCAAATCATCCATCATTGTAGTAGCTCATTTAATGAGGCGCTATAATTTCTTTTGAATTTTAAAAACTCAATTTTATATTATTAACTTTATCGTTATCCGTAAATTGTGAAGAGAATAATTTAATATTACGGAATTATCAAGAATTGCGAAATTAGTGATCTGTTGCTAATAAAATAGTATTGCCACCTGTCTTTAAAAAAATAAAGCAGCAAGCACAATGCTCTTTTGCATAAGTATACTAGCGGTAACTCACACTTTATATCAGCTGACTAGTTCTGTATTATGGAAAACAATGCATTCGATTATTCATGTACTAATTAAAATATGGGTAAACGTAAGAACCAATAAAAATTTGGTTTCTTATTGTAAGCATAAGGGAGGTCTTATATCAGCTGATACATACATTGAGTAATTGCGTTGCATATCTTTGTTTGCAAAGTATTTAGTGATTTGATTGAATGATTGTTTTTATGCCATTTTTTTTTTGTGCGTACTCTATTATATCTAATTATTTTTTTTGTGTTCTATTGTTTATATATTTTGCATTTTACGACAACTAACTTAGGCCCTGTTAATTGATTTAAAATATAACTACATTCCTACACAAATTCAAAACCTACACTTTTTTGTTTTTTTAGTAACAGTTGATTAATATAATAGTAATAGTAAAAAAAGTGTTATTATAATTTTATTAAATTTATTATTATAAATTGTTCGTGGTTTTTACTATTCCTTTTCTTTTTTATTTTGCCCAATTATGTAGCGGGAAAATTGTGTTAATTTTGCATTCATTAATTTATTTTTTACCAAATTAAAAAGTAGTTAAAATTTAAGTAATAGAGATATTTAGACCAATGTTTGATCAACTTTTATTTTCAGTTTGTTTTTTGTTAAATTAAGTTCATGTTAAGTTAGACTCTATGGTAACATGTACTTCAGCATCATGTATGTAATATTTTATGTTTTTTGGTCTATGTATAATCAGCTGATTTAATCGTTTACGTAGGGGCATACTATGATTGCAGTCACGTCATGACAAATTGTTGTTGCTTTCAATGCAAAATAAAATGAGCTGTAAGTGCCAAATTTTGATTTTGCATTGAAAGCAACAATCATAACATGTACCTTATATTTTTACTGATTTTAGCAGTCATTTTTGCTAGTACAGTAAATTTGTAGTATTTTATTTTATTTAAAAAGTGAAATTATATAATACTTTTTACTATTTATTTTATTATTTGACTAAACAATTCTCTTTCGATTCTCTAAATATTATATTCTTAATCATTTCGGTACATATGTTGTGTTTTTTTATAATAATGTTTTGCCTTATTTTTATTTCTTATTTTATGCTATAATTATCATTATTTCATCTTTATTTTGTTGAATATTACGCATCAATTTAAAAGGTAAACAAAAATCAGCTGTTTTGGTGTGTACTTTATAGGCAGTTTAAAATGTTTTGGCAACACTATGCCGAGTCTCGAACAGTGCACAAGAGGTAAACATCGTAGAATAATACCATGTAAGCGACAACTAAGCATTATAAATTTATAAAATTATTTACAAAGATTTATAAATGTATAAACACTCTGAAGATGTGAAACTATAATTAAATTTATATACAACAAGAATAAAATTACTGAAAGACCTGTTATATATTTTGCATACCGTGATGGATGCAATGCTATTTTTCGGTGCACTGGGAGCGTTATATTTGATGCTTTTATTTTTTGATAATTTTTTTAAGGTAAATATTTTGAATTATTAGATAGCAACACAATTTATTAATGATGCATTATTTTGCTAAAGAGCTGTATGCACTATCCATATATGGAGTTTTTAAAGAAGACTGGTATAACAGTGCATTTCATGCACTTGCGTTGGCATACGATCGCGTTCAATCGCACAATGCTACGTTGCGGTAACAACGGAAACTCACGCAATTTACTAATAAAGTTTTTCACAGTTGGTGTTTTGTTTGCGCTCTCACTGCTGCCAATTGGTTTAATTTTGCTAATTTTTGCTATATTTAGTGGTAATAATGACAGCAAAGCGGGTGACGTCGTCGGGAGTGGTGGTGGTTCACAGACTGTTACTGTAGAAATACTTTTGCCAGGTGTTAATTTGCCTTTAGAAGAGATTGGTTTCTATGTGACAACATTGCTGTTATCAACGATTGTGCATGAATTAGGACATGCCTTGGCGGCTGTGGCGGAAGATGTGCAGGTGTTAGGTTTTGGTTTACATGTAAGTATTACCGATGTTAATTAAATGAATAGAATTAATTAGTTTTTCTACATTACAGTTATATTTTTGTTTGCCAATGGCATACACTGAAGTTTCGAATGAACAACTGAATGCATTGAAATGGTTTAAAAAATTACGTATATTATGTGGTGGTATTTGGCACAATTTCCTATTTGCCGGCATTTGCTATTTGCTATTCTCAACTTTAGGCCTAATGACTGCACCACTTTATACTTTAAATAAAAATGTCATGGTCACTGAAGTATTACATAACTCACCTTTGCGTACCAAAGGTGGAGTTGGTTTATCAGCTGGTAATATAATAACACATATAAATAATTGCGAAGTGCGCAATGAGGACACCTGGTTCAACTGCCTCGCAAAAAGTCTACGCATAAAGCCCGGATATTGCGTTTCTTCCGATTTTATACGTCTCAACGATGAAAGCATCGAAATTTCCCATCATGGTCCCGATGGCATGCTGCAATGTTGTGATGATAAAAATGCCAACCTATGTTGTTTTGAATATGTGGATGATTTAAGTAATGATGCTCCGGTTGAAATTCCACAGCATGTTTGTTTGGATGTGCGACGAACTATTGATGAATCCTATGACTACTGCGTTGCCGGTAATTGTGATCGTGGATTTTGCATACGTCCCTTATTACGTAACACTACAACTATTTTGAATATAAAACGCACTACAATGGAGCACAAAAAATTGCCGGATGTTAACTATATGGGCCATCCAGCAGATGTAACGCGTTCTGTACGCATATCTTCCTTTGTACCGAAACAAAAATATGTAGGCTCTTATTGGGGAGATGCTTATTCGTTATTTCTTAAGTATAACGTTGTCTTTAGCTTTGGTCTGGCGCTGGTCAATGCCATACCTTGCTTTGGTTTTGACGGCTATCATATAACTAGCACAATTATTAATAGTTTTCTAGTCAATCGCGTAACTGAACGCCCGAAACGTGATGTTATCTCTTTAATCGTTACCAGTATTGGTACGTTGTTGTTCTCACTGGCAGTGCTTAAAGTTCTATGGTTAAGCGTATTACAAAAACTATTTTAAGTTCTTCTTTATGAGTGAGAATATATACTACTTTGTTGAAGTTGAAAAATTATCAAAATATTTAAAAACCAAAAGGCAAGTTAACATAAAAATAAGCTGAGATATCACAAAATAACGTACGTAGTTTAAAGCAGTAGTTAAGAGTTTAATCAAAATTGTAACGATTGCTTCAAGTTTTTATTACCTAAGAAAATTTATTTTAACACTTTTTTTTATTTATTAAAAGTAAATTTGGAGAGAGCTTATATAATTTATTTTTACTGAATTTATCAATCGCAAAAGATTTTTTAAAATAAAACATGAAAACTGTGTATTGCAATAATTTTTTTATTTCTTGTAGCGACTGCGACACAGCCCTCAAGCTCAGAATTTTAATTTGTTTAAAATTTGTTGATCAGTTTGTTTGTAGCTTTTATACGTTAAAACGTTAAACGTTTTAATGATGTTTTATATTAAATAAATATTTTGCATATAAACTTAATGTTTAGAGCTTTTTATTGCACACCCCGCTGAGATCCAAACTATTTTTTAGTTCTGTCAAACTTCGGCGCCCATGTTGCAGCAACATTTTAATAGCTATTTCATCGGTTTGATTCTGATGATTACGAAAATCCTGTCTAACCCAAGTGCGTAATTCCTCCTGGCTCACTTTATTAGGTATAAGGCGTATTGTGCGGAAAAGGTCACGGTACAATTTGAGCACTTCTTGGCGCAACATAAACTGTGCACGACGAGGTGAGATAAAACTATTTATAAGATTTGAAAGATATTTTATATTTCTCACTTACTTGCTTTAAATTCAAAGCGGCTTTGATTGTTTTTGTCATATCCACATATAATTTACGTACTTTCCTGCTTGATATATATTAATTTAATTAAACTCATAAAGGAACTAAAAACAAACAAACAACTGTTCCCATTAAACAGCTGACTTTTGTTATTGTGCGGTTTGTTTTCTTTTTATACTGAAACTCACCAAAAAGTGGTGTGGGGAAATCAAAATTTTAATTGTGACGTTTTATTTTCAATTAATTTTAAATTTTTTAATAAAATTTATTTAAAATGTAAAATTTATAATTCAAAGCAATCTAATATAAATTATTAATTATTTGTTGAGCAAATAAATGATTTTAATAGATAAAACCCACAATTATTTATTATTGTAGTTAATTTATCAAGGATATTTTGTGTATACATGAGCAAATCCAAGGGAGAATATGAGGCAGTGGCTTCCCTAAAATGTGCCCGAAGTAATGTCTCATTATACTTCCTTTGCGTGACTAACATTCTTTCGATGGTGCATGTATGGACACAAAACTACTGGCAATCGTATAAAGTAATTGAAAATCATATATTCTTTAACGACCTTTTTTAAGTAAATGCTGAATAATAGATAATAGTGACTGAACTTCTGTTTTGCAATTCCAGTCTAATGAGCTTAACCAGTCACAAGAGATCTGGACACCAAAATAATATTGAATGAAATGAAATGATTATTTTTATTAGAAAACCTTTCAAACTCGTCTAACTCATTTTTTGGTCCAACTTGTTTCGTAGTTCCGTCCAAGTTTAATATGATATAAATAGAGATATGTGAAGGAGTTGAGTATTATGGCTTGATAGCCTTTAATTACTTTATAATATTATTAGAATACATTATTACACCTTTCCACCTATGATATTGCTTTTCAAATTTTGAAAAGTAACTGATATTAAATGATTTTTAAAATGATTTCTTTAAATAATTATAATTAATCATTGAAAATGACTTAAAAATGTTTTAGATTTTTTAAACCTTAATAATTTAATTTTTTATCTGGTGTCACTAGGAATCTAAAGATCTTTATCTAGCCTTCGGATAGCCAAATAACTTTACAAAATCTGATGTTTTTTTAAGTATATGTTCTCCTGAAGTAAGAACATTATTATTTGGTACCAATTTCATGGTAACTCTGGTTTGAATTCCTGGCAATGCAAATACAGTGACGAATGAGCATGCTGATAACAGAGTCAGGCTTTGTGTCCCTTTGATAGATCATCTTCTCTCAGTCTTCATTTTTACCAGTCACATATAATATTAAAATATTATTACTTTTTGTGACAGGCTTATAGGAGTTAGGCTAATATTTCTTAGCCCAATATTTTAATAGCTTGATATTTCTTATCGTTAGTAGAGTGACATGGCCAAAAATTCTAAATATATAACTTTTGAAACCTTTAATCCAAGGAGCAATCTATCTATGATAACCTCACTTCTTACGATATACCGAACTATAGTACGGCATGGAACCGGCATGGATCTGCTTTGCCAAAGTTTTTGTAGTTCTTGTTTATCGGCGCGTTTACTCATGTTTATTAAGAGATATTTCTAACATAAGAATTGATTAGATATTTGCATTCAGATACTTGCGTTCGACTGGTTCTAATATGCTCAACCTTCTACCCATAATTATGAGGAATATATCATCGAAATTGAAGACTAAGCTAATTGAGGAGGATTCAAACTTTCTTTCACTCTATCTATCTAGAACATAGATATTGAGCAGAGTTTTTTGTCAATTTTCAATGGCAAAAAAAAACTTCTTTTAGTATTTCGCTTTTCCGTTTTATGTAAGGGCATTGGGTTCTTATTCGCCCTGCTTTCTGGTTACGTCCATGAATTTAAATGTAATTTGCGATAAGATGATTATGAAAAAACAGATATGTTTTGTCTTAACTAATGGAATAAAAGAGTAAACAACTGAAGGTAAAAAAAACTAGTTAAATTAAACACAGATTTTCTTCTAAAACATTTGCTGAAGTTATGTGCTTTTAATAGATAATTCAGAAAGAATTAATAAAACCTTACGATAAATTGTAAAAACATTTTGTCTGAATTTTACTAAATTGTTAAATTGCAACAATTTAAGTTGAATCACTTTAATTATTAGAAATATTTGTTAAATTATGCACAAGTCCTAACACACTCACATACACACGGATATTAGGTACTCACCCATAATCAATGGAACTCTTCTAGGGCGCGAACTCTATTTAGCTTTGCTCTCTCGTAAAAATGATAAAATTATTGTTGTTCTTAGCTTGATTAATTAACAATTTAATTGTTTTCGCGTTTATGTTAAACAGCTTTCATTGTTTTTGTTGGTTTTGTTATGTTTTGCGCAAATCTGCATTTTCATGCAATTTAATTGCATTTTAATAGACATTTTGCCAAATAAACTTGCACAAACATAAGTTTCGCTCTCCTCAGAATGTTGCTCGTGGTACTTTAGTCTTTGTCTACGCTGTTGATTAATCTTTCGTTTTATGGGTCTCTATTAGTTTAATTGTCAGATAAATATTTTAAGTATATATTTTATATAATTAAGAGTGAAAGTCCAACAATGTGTTTTGTTTATTTAAAGCAGCATGTGCCGTGGCAAACATTACAAGAAGTCTTGCCAGTGATTCGTCATCGCTTAATAATTACTAATACTGTAGACATAGAGGTATATGAGACTATGTAAGTGTAGTAGCATTACCTACCGTATACGAGTATCCATAATAACTTGTCACTAATATTGATATTAATATTTTATATTAAATCTGTATTGGTACTAATAAACACCGTAATAGTCGTTTTCCATTAAGAATATCTATAATACTAATAACCGATACTTACAATACTTTAAATCTCTCCGACCTTCTTGCAGACTGGATGTTGTTTAGAAGATTTACAGCTAGCTCATTGGGATGTCAGGTAGTCTTTTACCTATATCTCGCGCTGGATTTTTGAATTTTTTCTGCTTTTATAAAATAAATTTTTTGGTCCTGTTATATACACCATTGATATATACCAATGGTATGGAATTGATATGTACCAATGATATGGCATTGATATGTATCAACGGTATGGAATTTGACTTTATTTCTTACTGTTCTTGATTGAGTCTTTTGTAGTATGTCCATTTTCGAGGTACTGACAGTGCCTTAAAGTTGTATAGCGTGTATCCATATTGGTTTAAACACAACTATGCATAATAGAACTTTGATTACCAAACTCAATTGCGTGAAACTGCTTGGTTTTTATATGATCTCTCCATATGAGCCTGCCGTCCAAATGTATCCCTACATATTTCACAGAGTTATAATGAGAGTTTGGAATATTGTAAGGATTAAGTTGTAGATAAGGTTTTTTCCTACTCCTTCTTTAGAATCAAATACAATACTCTATAATTTGGAGAAATAAGTATTAGCATACGTCTAGGATCTTTATTTTGGCATAAAAATGTTCAGGAGTCAACTAAATTTTGATAATTGGGAAATATATGATCTGTTTCATTCATGTCAAATATCTTTCCCTGCTTTGAATATAGAACAAATATTCGTTGTTTTGGAACAAAACTGAAGAGTACGCTAGAAGAGAAAGTATTTTAAAGTACATTTTATATAACTTCTCTATAAGTGTGATAATCAACAATCAGTGATCCTACTTCGTAACAATAAGTAAAAACCAGAAACTCAAGAACTAGAGAGCTAGATGTTTAAATAAGTTGGCGTATGTATTGACTTCTAGAGGGTTGTTAGCGAAACTTGATTTAAATAACCTATATAATAGTAATAGAGTACTCAGGAAACTCCTATAACAAATAAGTAGTCCAAAACTAATGGTAACTAGCACTACTATTCGTATTTACATTAGTAGTGTTATAAAATAAAACTGAAAACTGTAAATATTCACGGAACACATTTTTGTATTGAAGGCATTCGCTGCTAGTCTATTGCAAGCTTCAGGTGAGATACCTCGCAATGTAACTCAATGTGAAGATGGCTATTAGGTCATCTAACCTTCACATTATTCGTATTTCAATGGCAATTAGTATCCTTTGATACAAAGTATCGTAAAAGGTAGAGAAGCTTATTCTTTCATATTAAATTAATTAAAAATAATATTTAAAAAAATTTGACCCCACGCATACATATGCGGAGGAAAAAAAATTAGTATAATGATCAAAAAAAAAAAAAAAAATTGTCAAAAAATATCTGAATCTGAAAATTCTTCTAATGCATTTTATTGTTTTTGCCACTGAATCTGCAGTTTATTTTTAATTTATTTAATTCTTTTTCTTATAAATGTAAAATTCATTTTACAAAAGTTTTCAGTTTCATTTTCATTTTCGATTTCATTTCGAAAGCACTTTTGTTTTTTTTAATTTTTTTTAAATTTTTTCTTAATGTTTTCCATTTTCATGTTGTTGTTGTTTAATTTTGAAATGAAAATCATCAACATAAATAAAGAATTAAATAAAACTAATGTAAAAAGATATTTTAGTCGAGTATCATCACACCGAACACTGACTACTTAGAACAGAACAGAGCAGAGCAGAACAGAACAAAATAAAAACAAAAATCAAAAGCATAAAGCGCAAAGCACAAAGGAAAAATCGAAGACAACACCAAAATATAATAAAAATAGAATATGATAATGAGGTCTTCATGAAGACTGCCATGGATGCTGTATTTATGTGAGAGATGTTGTATTGTCTTTTGTTGTAAACCACATTTATTATATAGTGAAATAAGACCCTCACACCTTTCGCGTTTATCTACCTAATGGATATACATTAGAGCTCTTTGTATCCTGATATTTCTAATGATTCGATTATTCACATATGATCAAGAAGTTTAAATAACTCGAAATATAGAAGTTTTTTCGATATTCGAAATTCTAGATGCATATTAGAGCTATTCGTAATCGGATATTTGGAATGATTCGATTATTCACATATGAACAAGAAATTTAAATAATTCGATATATAGAACTTTTTTCGGTATTCGAAATTCTAGATATACCTATGTTTGAAGTTCATATATATTATGATTTAGGAAAATCTATTTTGGTTCAGCCTAAAATATGGAATATACCCGACCAAATAAAATCAATCTGAAGAACTCTATTATAAAGTAATTTCTTCATATTTCTGTGCATATTATAAGAAAACACTCTGATTTCATTAGATTTAATATATTTTCGAA